AACATCAATCAGTCTGTCTGTTAATTTCGTTTAAGAATCATATTAATTAAGAAACAATAACAAGCCAAGTTAAATTAAATTAAATCACAAGTTCACCGCAGGCTTAAGTGAAATTCATGACGTCATTGAGGCAGCATGAAAAAGGGACTTATTGGCTCAGGTGACAAACCAAGTGGCAGGCATATAAATTTACGCCCGCGTTAAAGTTTTAATGCCAAGCACGCAGTTACGGAACTGTGGGAAAAGACTGTGAAAAATCCGTTGGTAATCATTCAATGCGTCAATCAAACAGTAAACGAGTTCGGTTCGGCTTGACTTCAGCTGCAGCATTTCTCGCTCGCTTCTCAATTTGAATTAAAAACTTTGCAGCAACTTTAAATACAGCTTACGGCTTTAGCGAAACTGAACGGGTTGATGTGAACGGGAACGGGAGTGTGTTGAACGACTGGGGGCGGCTGGAAAAACTGCACTTAGCACCGCTCCAGAGCTCAGCTAAAATCCAATGCTTCGTTGGACAACGAAGAAGGCGTAAGTAAGTACTATGGATTCCAGTAGTAAGTCGGCCCTTAATTCAACAAAACTTTTTCTATGTGCTCCGTATGTGATGTATGCGAGTGCGAGTGTGTTTGTGTATGTATGTGTGTGTGCGTGTGTGGATGGCAAAGTGGGTGCACATGAGGCTGTTAAACTTGTTGTTAGAAATTTAAAACAATTTGCTGACCACAAAACAAAGCAGCTGAGAAATCAATTCGACTGGCAGCCTGTTTTAAGACTTTCACATTGGGTTTCATTAACAAGAGCCGAACACACAAAAAAAATGCCAGACACGTTTTTGGCCCACAAGCTAAAATCCAAATTGTCGAATCGGTTTGTACTTTTTTTACTTTCATTAGACCATCTGTGTGTGGGTGTATAAGGAATCCTTTCATTTGTATATTGTCATTGTTATTGTTTGCAATAGCAAAACAAAAAAAAAAACAAAATTAAAAAGAAAATGGCAGAGTTCCATTGCAGAGATTTTCACATAGATTGTTTAAATCAAAAATATGACATTTTATTTAAACAGAGTCTTATTTCAACTATGCTTTGACAAGGAATAGTCCTTCGTTTCATTAATTTCTCTAATTTTTATACACAGCATAATTCAGCTTAATAAATGCTCTTACCAAAGTTCCATCTCTGAAAGTTTTGGGAGAACTAAACTTCTTTAAATCAGAAATCTCACTTTATTGGTGGTTTGTGTTCTTAATTGATTCCACCTTTAAAAAAATTTCATTTTGATATTTTCTGAGCATCAATCAATATTAAACTTAAACTCTGCGCCTGATTTCGCATTGTGTAAAGAAATTGTAATTTTATTTATGAAATTAGAATTAAGCAAGTCGATTTTCGGCAAATATATTATTTTATATATAAAATAAGACAATGTGTTGCCTAATAATATATATATATATAGTAGGCACTTGTTTATTTGTTTTATAAAATATCCGTTAAATGTTGTCTGTCCGCACACGTGTAACGGAAGTTACATAGTGTCTGGCGTTTATTGATTTATTTGCAGCGACATATTTCTGCACTGCCTCAGGAGAGTCCCAAAACAAAAAGGGCAAAGGTCCGCAATCCACACAGCGAAACTCTGTCAGCGTCTGCTGTCCAATAAGTGTCAATTACAATCAATTTGGCGGCTGTTTGTAAGAGTGTGTGTGTGTGTGTGTATGTGTGCCGTGTGCAGCTGGCCCTGTTTTCACCTGCCCTTCTTTATAAGCAGCGTATGCGGAATATACTTTGGCAAGCCTTCAAATGCGGTTTTAAAGCCAGCCAACTGGCTCGTAATGAATGCTGATTGACAGCTGAAATTAAATTCGCCAGCTGAGATAAAGTCAGGGACTGCGGCGAAGTCTGATCCGTTAAGTTGGGAGGCAAACATTCACAAACACACGAGCGCACACGCGCTCTGCAACTCAGACAAAAAGTGTTGCATACTTTTCCGGGCGCAAAACTTTAAACGTTTTGCCTTTTGTTTTATACAGCAATTGCACGGCATATGATTGATTGATTGATGATTAGACCGCCTAGCAAAAACAAACGCTTCAGCTTAAAACAAGAACTCAAACTCAAATACAAACTCTGAGTGAATGCCGGCTTCAAACCCCACCACGCCTACCATTTCCCTGCCTCTGGCGTTATGGGAAATCAATCATTTTCATCTTCAACTGCACACTGTGCTAGAAATTCTTTGTTTCCACTGTGTGGTTGTTGCTCCTCAAATCAATCTTCACTCAGCGCACAACTAAAAGTGAAGATAAAAAAACAAAAACAAAACAAGAAAGAATTTCAATCAAAAATCTGATAATACGTATTGTTGACAAATTGTTTGGTATTAACTTGACTTGCGCGTCGGCGCCGATTACCAAGTGAAATTGTGGCCATAAACGGAATTCCCAGTGGCATAAAATGCGTTTCGTAGTCAGACACTATTCGAATTCAGCCAATCGTTGCATTATTTATTCAACCGCTGAAATTATAACTGAAATGTGTCGCATAAATAAGTGCAACTCAACTGAAAATTAATGCGCATTCTTTGTTGATGCAGCTAGCGCCAAAACGATAAACGTGAATTTTTATGAAAACAAAAAGAATAGAGCACACAGCCCAGCTACAGGACACCCTATTGCTATGACCGAAATTATCAAATCTTTTTTATTTTATTTTTTTCGCTGGAATCGATCAGTGCCTTTTGATCTCTACCAAATTACTATTATGTTACTTGTATTCATTAAAAATTCTCACAATTAACGCATGCAATTTAAATAAATTTAAAAAATTTATTTATTCGCAAAAATATCACTTAGAAGATATATTTTCTATCAATCAATTGGAAAACCTGAAGAAACGTCTTTAAAAAAAATCAATTTTTCACGAAATGCCTTTAAATGAAACTCTTTTATCTATCACGCTGAAGAATGTTTACTCTAATATTAATTAATCAATTATACATGTATAAAGTTTTATTGTTCTCTATTAAGTTATAATTCAGAGAATGGAAAATATAAATTTAGTGCCTGCAGTTGTAAGATATGTTTGCTTATGTCCTAAGAGCTTTTGCTTAAAAAAAGCCTGCCCACAATTTTAAAATAATTATTTGTATACTCCACAGAGAGGAATGCAAATATTTAATGAAAATATTGAATTAACGCTCGCTTCCATTGTTCCCCACTTGGCCAGACTCTTAATAAATCAATTATGTGTTGGCAGCAGGGAACGAATAGTGTTTCAAGTGTCGGAACAATAAAAAAAAACAATTCATGAAACACTTAAAAAATTGCATGGCAATTCATCCAATTGATTTCACTTAACAATTAACATTGATTTCTGTATAATGTGTCCAATAAATGTATGTGAACGTGTGTGTGTGTGGGCAAGCCTCGTTTATTATTGGTTGTGACATTTTAAATTGACAGTTTACTCACAGTTGCGCACACAAACATACAAATTATTTGCCCCTACTCTTTACCTAGACAATAAAGCCGGAGAATAGTTTTTAAATGCAGGGTTTTGAGCCTTGTGTTTGGGCCATGTCAAAATGAAGCTGATCCCAAGTGTAATCAATTACAATGCTCTACAATTGTCCTGCCGGCAAATGTGTGTATGCGTGTTTGTGTGCGGGTACGGGTGCGGGTGAGTAAATGTGTGGGTGGACACAATGTGTCCTATGTCATTCCGTTTGACATTAATGGTTTTATAATTGTATGCAAGAGCTAACAAGGACATGGCGAGTACAAGTTGCGATTGCTTGGTTTAACTATTGTTAATGCCAACTTTTTGTCAACCACTTTTCAGCCACTTTTGGTCCAACAAGGTACAATTTCTGCGCATCAGTCAAGCGGAATGTACCTCCCAGCTCCTTCAATATTGGCATTAAGAGCTCCTAACCCACAAACTTCACCACACACTCACTTACACACACACACACGAAAATCAGACAAATATATATATATATGCTTATACCTTTCAATTCAATTACAGTTCGTATTTAAACCAAATATTTACAAAAGGTTATTTAAAAAGACATTCAGACAAACGGTATAAATTAATAAATTAACTTTGTTTATAAATGTAACAAAAGAAAAGAAATAATGAATTTCAAAAAACCCATCTATGTTTGTCGTTTAATTCAATTATTTTGTGCGCAAGGGTATTTAATATTCGACCATTAAAGAGATAGCTGCTCTTTCCTTAAATATCAGTCTCATATGTACCCCGTATATTAGTTGACAGAGGGCTGCATCTAATTAACAGGTACATCAGGCGCGGCGGCAATTGCTAATTAATTCATATGCGTGGTGTCAAAAAGTTGTTGTTGCTCACTAGATGCCGCGTTGCGTATACGCAGCGTAGACTGGATGTAATTAAAGGTGAGTGCGTATGTGTTGTGAAAGTCTTTGCATCAACCACAAAATCTAATTTGCACATTTTCGCACTTAATTTTAGAGAGAGAGAGAGAGGGGGAGAGACAAGGATTGAGCTGATGGTCTGACAGCATTGACAAGTCGCTCGACTTTGGCCTAGCAGAGTTCGCTGTCGCTCTTGCTGTCACACGCGGCGTATACGTAACATCAGCAAAACCACAAGTATGCATACACAAAGTAGCGACTAATATCATTTAATTTATTCAAGTCTGTGGCACAGCGTGTATGATATTAATTTCCGCTTTGTCTTTTACGCACTTTCGGCATTTTCACTTAAGTCCCAACACTCTTAATTCATGTGGTTCTTAAGTTAATTATTGGCTCAAATGACATTTTTGGCAGAGGCTTTTTCTTTATCCACAATTTGGCCCTAAAAGGCATAGAATGAGGTGTGACAAAACCAAGTCAAAAAATTTAATTAAAATTGTACACTCAAGTTTTGGTTTTAAATGCAAAATCAGGTTTTCTTTACGTAACAGCAGTCCCTGAATTTTCACTCAATATATAACCTATTCAGGCCCTACAAATCAAACATTATTCAGTTTACCATCAACATTAAAACCTTTCGTAACTCAGCTAAGAAAATAAATAAGTTTTGAAAACTTAGAAATTTTTCCTTTTTTCGTGTAGCCCGATTAATGTAACTCAATTTTAATAATATTAAATATAGAATATATTATAATCTCGTTCGCTTTCAGCTCTTACCAAATCACCATGTGCAGTTGGCCTTGCTATCCCGCTGCCTGTATTGGTTCCTGCGGTGGATGCGCGCCGAGTGGTTTCTATGATCCCAGCTATGGGTCAATGGCTGGGCCCGTTTGCGGCCTGGGTGGCTCTTGTTGTGGCTGCTGGGGTAGCTGCTGGTGATTGCATGTTGATTATGTTCCCATGCTTTCCATGTTTGTCCTGGTGAGTAATTATAAAATATAACTTTTATTAATAGTTTCTGAATATAAAAAAAATCACAAGCAGAAAGAACTGAGATATACATGGCATGGTTGAGGCGGTTATGCAGATTTGGCTTGCAGAAGAAAACCAGGAAGAATTCTAGGCTCAATTGACTTTCAAAATTATTTATAAACCTATTAGCGCTCGGTAATCTGGCGCTTCAACAGCTTTGATCAGTATATAAGGTTTATGTTAACATAGACAAAAAGAAAATAAAACCATACTTTGACTCATAAACTGCTTGGTTTGACTTTGTATATAATTCTTATGCTATATATTTATCAATAAAGTGATTCTACTTAAAATTTTAAATAATCTCTTATATTTGCGATAATTATCGAAAGCTAACAGCTGTGGCAGGCAATCGAACCCGATTTCTGATATTCTGATAATAACCAAAAACTTAGTAGGCCTTTAAAATTCAATACCAAAGCAGGCTTTGAAATTGATTTTGGAAGAGTTCTCAATGGCTGTGTTATATTTTGTTCATAAATCTTTGGAGCCTTGTACAGAAAAGAACTCTTTTCAAAAACGAAATTTTTGTGAATGTTTTAGGCCTGTAAGTAGAAATATTTATTCAAATCGAAAGTAATTTGTTAAGAATTGTTTTTAAAGGTTCCAGTCTCTCCTGTAATTAAACATTGTGCCATTGGGTCCGCCGGCATTTTGGAGACTTGGAGGCTGAAAATAATCACAATATTTCTAAAATCGTTTTGCCCACTAAGTAGACCTTATTTCCGTGAAGAAATTGACTTAAGGGTTGGTACTCTTATAGCCGCTCATTTAGGCTCTATCTGATTATCCTTGCCCTACAGCAAGAAAACTCGCCACCCTATCAAGATGTGTAATCCATGCTATTCGTGTTGCGGCTCCTGCTGCTCACCCTGCTGTAGCCCCTGTTGCGGTCCCTGCGGTCCCTGCGGCCCCTGTGGCCCCTGCGGCCGCGGCCCATGCGGCCCTTGCAACCCTTGCTGTGGAAAGCGAAATGGACTACAACCCTGTTGTGGCGGGTGTGGACCATGCTGTTAACTAAACCTTCTTCAGAACGAAATAAAGGAATAATGCAATAGTACTAGAAAAAATATATAAGACACTTTGTATTTTGTAAAATTTCAATAAGTAATAAATCTCACCAACTAAAATTATATTGAAAAATCTTATCGCTATATTTTGTGCCGTATTCGAAACCTGGCAAGCACTTTCTAGGACCGTAATTGATTATTCTGCATGCGTAACGCGAAGAATATAGGAATAAATTTAGAAATAGTCTATTCAGAAAGTACAGACAATATACATAGCTATGTACTCGTGCTTCAGCCTAGTAGGCATTGGCTTTCAACTCATGGTCCGACTTCAGCTTCATGATTTTTGTACAGATTTTTAGTCAGTTCAACACCGACACTGGAACCTTTCGGTACTCAAATTTCGAAATAAATATTTTTGAAATTTCGGCCTTTTTTCCTATTTTCGTGTAACGCGAGCAATGTAAGATTATTATTTAATCCAAAGATATTATAAGAATTTAAAACTCCTATACAGCTCATACCAAATCATCATGTTTGGATATACGTGCTATCCTGGCGCCTGCATTGGAATTTGCGGTGGTAGTGCACCTGGTGGTTATTATGATCCCTGCTTTGGGTCATTCAACGGACCATTTAATAGCTGGTGGGGTCCAAGTGGACCCGGTTTCTGGACTGGACGACTGTGTTGAAAACGCTGGGCGTTTTTTACTTTTTGTCTTGGTACGTTAATTTCATATATCATTTATTTAATTTTACTATCAGTTGGTAAACAGAATTACACTGAATTAAACTGGCTTCTAAATTTGGATGAGGCGGTGATGGGATCTCGGTTGCAGAAGAAATCTAGGGAGAAAAGCTTACGGCTACTATCATATGTAGCTCTCAAAATTATTTATGTCCATAGAATACAGCGTTCAAGATAATTGTTACCGCAAACTAAATATATAATTTCATAAAATAAAAACGATTACTTTTATTATGATAGCTATATTAAAACTGGCCTCATGCAATATCTTGCCATAGGATATATATATATATATATATATGTATATCGAAGCAATAAAACTACCAAAACATTTAGAAGTACATTCGGTTTGATCTTTGGGCACGTTCCCGATTTAGAACTAATGCCGCCCTTAGAGGCTGACGGCTTTTAAATTTAAAATATGCAAAATTGTTTTCGATAGATCGCAGTTGGCCTTGACTTTTAGGCTCCAAATATTTCCTTAGCCTAGAGATGAAATAATTAGTATACTCAGTCTTCAACCAACATTTGTTAGGTCCACATATATTTTGGAAACGAGAAATACAAATTAAAAATGTCTATTCGAAATTCGTCGGTAAATCTTAATTCCAAAAAATGGCTAAAAGTAAGTATATTTACAAAACCAAATTCTTCAATTTCTGAACGTTTTTTTGTACAGCTCAATACTTAATACTACAAGCCATGCTTTTGCTTGCACTCCTTGTTAATAATTTCGTACACAACTTTTCCTGTGTGTGCCACACAGTATTAATAAGTAATACATTTTTAGATTTTCGACAACGTTTCAAATGTCGATAAATTGGTAAGTTAAAAAATGCACTATTGTTGTTGTTGTTTAATTTATTAATTATTTTCTCTTTAAATAGATTTCGCTGTTAACTATAATCGTTTTATGGTGTTAGCCATACGTTGGAATTAGGATAGGATAGAGATAGGATACAGAGCACAATGCACCCACATTAGTGATACTGGAAGTAATCGCTGGTACTGGTATACTGGGTAAGCTAAAATTTATGTGAATTTTAAATAATTATATATATTTTCTCCACAAGATTTGCATGGTTTTCAATAATTAAGTTGGCATCAAGTTATTTAATGGTGATGATGGTATGATGGTGTTAATTAAATGGGATTATAAGGAAGAGTTAATAAATGTTAAATAAGAACTTCTTGTGTGTATTCATTTTGTTAAATAAAATGGCTTATTAGAATTATCAATTGCATACACAAATGGTATTTAATAATGGTAAATAATAAAAAATGATAGCAACTGTAATTCTCATCTAATCTGCTTAGGGATAAAATATATAATTAGCATCTAGTCGTAAAGCAGGTAAATTTACTTTTTGCTTGGCAAACGCATTGCTCAATTATTAAGAGAAGCACTTGGCAACTGATAACATGTTATATATATAAAATATAGCTCTGATAATAGTTATTATTAATTATTATAAAAAACCCAATCGAATTAACTAAAGGATTCAGTCGGACGATTGACGGATATGGTTCTATCTACAAGTATTAGTATACATAATTGGATTATTATAAATAAGAGCTCGATAAAGAGGTGTGGGATAGGGATATGGTTTCACGAAGACTCGGGAGAATTAAGCAGCATGATTCAAAGTTACTAACTTTAGTAGCCGTGAAGTCAACATATATTAAAAATATCCACATATATAACAAATATTTGAAAATAAAACGACAAAATATAGTAGGCCTTAGTAAAAATTGTTCAAGGTCCAATGGACCTTCTGAATATTTAGACATACGTCTCTGAATGTTTTTACATAAAACATCCTAGCACAATATTTGTAATTTCATTGTGACTGTTTTTAGGCATGTAAGTAGAAAAGAAAATGTCAAGATTGGAAGAAATATTCTAAATCGTTTATTTGCAACAGGAATCAGTTTGTTTTTGTAAACAACCAATAGGCTGCACCGACTTTGTGGACGCTTAGAATTTGAGCATTGCCCACGGCAATATTGAATTCACAAGCAGTAAACAACTATTTCACGAGGCATTTAGCTAAAAGGTATGTACTTTTATACCTTGCACGGAACAGATCTAACAATGTTCGCTATGAGTAATATAGTAATCCATCAAGATGTGCTGCGACGGTTGTTCCACTCTAATTCCTATCCGTAGACCATGCTGTGAGCCGTGCTGTGGTCCCAGCTTTGGCTCTTGCTGCGGACCGTGCGGTCCCTGTGGTCCTTGTGGCTGTTCACCGTGCTATGCACCGTGTGGGGCCTGCTGTGGCGGTTGTGGGCCTTGCTGTTAGCATTATCTTCGGATCAAAACAAAGTCCCTTGAAAAGCCACCCAACAAATTAATTGTGCATTTTAATAAAGAAAATGTAAATTTAATTCACAAATATTTTGCTTGTATTTATCCCGTCATAATTCCATTTTCATAAAGTGACTTCCAAAGAGACCCAAAGGGGTTTGAAAATGGGGGCGGTGGTGGAGGCAATCCAGGAAACGGCAATGCAGGTGTGAAATACGCTGGAACCGGAAATCTAGGAGGGGTTGGAAGATTGGAAGGACTGGGAAGGTCTGGAACTGGTAATTTAGGAGGGGTTGGAAGGTTAGGTAGACTAGGAAGAGCTGGAACGGGTAATTTGGGTGGAGATATAAGAGCTGCAATAGCTAAACTTGGAGCTCTGGGAGGAGTTGGCAGAGCGGTAGGCATAGGAAAAGATGGAGCTGGCATATTAGGAGGAATCGGCTGTAAATTATTAATAGGCGGTAGGCTTGAAAGCGGTAAAGCAGGTGGTCTAGGACCTGATGGAAACGGAGGCAGTACTTCAAGATCCGGTGGTGGCAGAATTTGTGATAAAGGCGGGATAACAGGAAGGAAAATTTGGAGGTGGTATTGCAGCTGGAAGTGGAAATGAAGGAAGGGGTATACTAGGCAGTCGGTCTGAGTTCGCAAGAGCAGAAAGTGCAGGAAAAGGAAACATGAACGTTGGAAACTGTGGTATATGATGATGATGATTGTGCTGGTGTACATGATAATTGTCTGGATCAGTAGTAGATATGGGAGTCACTGTAGATAAAGTATCATTTGTGGAAATTGAGTTTGAAGTTGGCGTTGTAAACACTGAAGATGTAGACATCGGAGTTGATACAGTTAGTTGTAGAGATTTTAGTTGTTTTTGCAGTTGAAATTGGTGTTGTCCTTGTAGTTGAAATTAAAGTTGTCTTTATAGTTGAAAGTGGAGTTGTCCTCGTAGTTGAAACTGGAGTTGTCTGTGTTGTAGAGATTTTGGTAGTTGTCTTTGTGGTAGATACAGGAGTAGTTTTCGTAGCCTTCGTTGTAGAGATTTTAGTTGTCTTTGTAGATGAGACAGGAGTTGTCTTTGTAGTAGAAACTGGGGTTGTTAAATGTGTTGTCTTTGTGGTAGAAACACGAGTAGTTTTTGTAGCCTTCGTTGTAGAGATTTTAGTTGTCTTTGTAGATGACACAGGAGTTGTCTTTGTAGTTGAAACTGGGGTTGTCTTTGTAGTTGAAGCTGGAGTTGTCTTTGTTGTAGAGATTTTTGTCATTTTTGTAGTTGAAAATGCAGTCGTCTTTGTGGTAGAAACAGGCGTAGTTTTTGTAGCCTTCGTTGTAAAAAATTTAAGTTGTCTTTGTAGATGAGACAGGAGTTGTCTTTGTAGTTGAAGCTGGAGTTGTCTTTGTTGTAGAGATTTTTGTCGTTTTTGAAGTTGAGGATGGAGTTGTATTTGTGGTAGAAGCAGGAGTAGTCTTTGTAGCTTTCGTTGTAGAGATTTTAGTTGTCTTTATAGATGAGACAGGAGTTGTGTTTGTATTTGAAACTGAGGTTATCTTTGAAGTTGAAGCTGGGATTGTCTTTGTTGTAGAGGTTTTTGTCGATTTTGTAGTTAAAACTGGAGTTGTCTTTGAGGTAAAAACAGCCTTGGTTGTAGAGATATTAGTTATCTGTCTAGTTGAAATTGGAGTTGTCTTTGTAGTTGACACAGGGGTAGTTTTTATTGTTGTGATTTTAGTAGTCTTCGTAGTTGAAATTGGAGTTGTCCTTGTAGTTGACACAGAAGTAGGCACTGTGGTTATTGGGATTGGTGTTGGTGTTGTCACTGTGGTTGTAGTCGGTATTGTGCTACAAATTGGTAAATTGGGAGACGTTGTACAAAGGTTACTTGTTTCTCTAGTTGTCAATGTGGTTGTAGTCGGTGTTGTCACTGTGGTTGGAGTTGGACTTGTCTTTGTGGTTGACGTTGGAGTTGTCACAGTAGCTGTAGTGCGACAAGGTGGTATGTTAGGATGTTTTATGGAGAGATCTCTAATTGTAGTTGTGGTTGTTGGCATTCAAGTTAAAGAGCCTTGCCTTAAATGAATTTGCCGTAATCTATCAGGAGCACATTTAACCATATCCATGCAAATTGCGAAAATTGCAAGGGCTAGCAAAGACTGAAAGACTGATAATTTCTCTAAGAAGCTTTTGTGTTGAAATTGATTTTTGAGTTCCGACTTACCACGGCGAGCATGTGAGAAGTACTTTTTTGTTTCGTTATGGTTAGCTATTTATATATAAGCTGACAAAGACATAATGTGGGTATGTGGAATATTTGCTTTTCTAATTGTTTTTACTGTCAATTAACTACTATCTCAAAAAATGACAGCAAATGTGATATATATATCGACCATGGACACTAATGTTGTCTTTGGTCTTTATATTTCTAGCAAATAGCGCTTCTGGCAGGTCAATGTTTTTTCTATTCCACACTGATATACTTTTGTTAATGTATGTGTAAATATTGAAGAAAACAACTTTTCGTTTGAACTTGCGATAAAAGAACTCTTAAATCCAACTTTTGTTAGCTGTGGATCTTTCAACTTGGGGAAAGCTCATTGGGTTGTCTTTGTTTTAGAAATTCTTGTTCTTTGTTTAGTTGGAGATGGAGTTGTCTCTGTGGTAGAAACCGATGAAGTTTTTGTAACTTTTGTTGTAGAGATTTTTGTTATTTTTGCAGTTGGAATTGGTGTTGTCCTCGTATTTGAAAATAATGTTGTCTTTGGAGTTAAAAGCGGAGTTGTCTTTGTGGTAGAGACAGGTGTTGTCTTTGTAGTCTCTGTTGTAGGGATTTTAGTTGTCTCTGTAGTTGAATAATGTGTTGTCTTTGGAGTTGAAACTTGAGTTATATCTGTGGTTAAATCTTGGGTTGTCGATGTTAGTGTGTGTCGTAATTTATCAGGACCGCATTTTATCATCGACACAGAAAATAATTAAAAAAGACCAGCAAAAACCTGAAAGTCTTATGTAATCTAAGAATTTTTAAAGGAAAAGTCTATTCCTACGTTGTCACTTACCATATCGAGCAACTGAGAAGCACTATTGATTTTTCGTTGTACAAAGCTCTTTATATAAGGTCCTACAGGGTCGCCGTTAAAGAAATGCATTTTGAAGCAGGGCAATCACTGATAAAAGATTATATTTAATTTCAATTTAAAATATAGTATTTTTCTAGCTAGAAAATGTATATTCAGGCAAAATGTGGCATAGAAAGTATATATATTCTTGAGCAGAAAGATGAGCCGAGTAGATCGAGACATTCTTCTCTGTGTGAACGCCGCAGTGTCAACACAAAGTTTTGAAATTTGAAATATATATTATACTGTCCTATAAAATTCAAGTGCAGAAGGAGTTTTATCACTGTCGGCATCTCGTCCTACTTATATAATAATTGTATTTGCGAAAATATTATTAAAATGTGGTAAGAGGCTGTTTGTTGTATTGTGCATTAGGAAAGTTGAACTATTTGGATACAACCCCTAGCGAATTTTACCCATTCGTGTGCTTAAAAGTTTCGTAGGATTTAATAAAGAAATCTAAAAGATAGTCAAGAATTACCCTTTAAGAAGTAGAGACGCTGCTTAATAGGCTCAACAAGCTACATATATATGTATGTATTTTTACAAAAGGAAGTTTTATTACGCAGGGCAATGCAGGTAACACAATTGTTGACCAACACAAATCACAACATCATATAGCTGTCATAGGAATAAACGGTCAAAATTTGAGTTCTTTGAAAAAAAAAAACGTTCTTATTTCTCGCAATATCTTTATGTTGCATCTTATATACTAGCAAGTTCTTCCTATACAGTACAATACGGCTCTGCAAAACTGAAAAAAAAAATAGCTGATATATGTATGTCTGCAAGTAAATTATGTCTTCAGCACTGCGAACATAGCATTTCTTAATTGTTTCTAACTTGAAAATTAAACAATTTTTGGACACTCCGAAAATTAGGTGCCGTTCATTTGGCTTATAGCTCTAATGAAAAAGGCTCATAATGACAAATCGGTTGCTAGAAAATATATTTTTTTAAATAGTTTTAGTTTACACATATATTTAAAGTTTAGACACAGATTAATGCAATTAAAGTTTCGTTTAAAAATGTTTATGGCTGATTTAATTTATCTTTCTTTTAAATGCTTTTAAATGTAGATCGCTTTTTATATATTCTTGTAATCATACAATTTTATGCGATTTCAGATGTTGTTTGACTCAGAGCTTTCCAATGGAAGCCAAAAGGAGGAGGTAGTGGTGGGCGGGGTGGAAATCCAGGTAACGGTCTTAATGGATGAGCTGGTTGCGGCGGTAGGTGGGGCGGCGGCGGTAGGTGCGGCGGCGGTGGTATAGAAAGCACCGGCAAAGGCGGTATACCCAGAACCGGAGCCGGGAGCGGACGCAAAGGCAGCGGAAGAGGAAATGAAGGTATATGGTGATTATGAATGTGGTGATGGTTGTGGTGCTCGTGCTCTCCTCCAGAACTAGTGGGGGAAACTGTGGTTGTCACTGTCCTTGTAGTCAAAGAAGTTGTGGTTGGAACTGAAGTGGTAACTGCGGTTGTTGGGATTGTGGTTGGCATTGGTGTTGTCACAGGGGTTTGTGTTATTACTGTGGTCGGGGTTGGTATTGTCACTGGGGTTGGAGTTGTCACTGTGGTTGGCGTTGATGTTGTCAGAGGGGTTGGCGTTGGTGTTGTCACTGTGGTTGGAGTTGGTGTTGTCACTGGGGTTGGAGTTGTCACTGTGGTTGGCGTTGATGTTGTCAGAGGGGTTGGCGTTGGTGTTGTCACAGGGGTTGGTGTTGTTACTGTGGTTGGCGTTGGTGTTGTCACAGAGGTTGGCGTTGGTGTTGTCACTGGCGTTGGTGTTGTCACTGTGGTTGGCGTTGGTGTTGTCACTGGGGTTGGAGTTGTCACTGTGGTTGGCGTTGATGTTGTCAGAGGGGTTGGCGTTGGTGTTGTCACTGTGGTTGGAGTTGTCACTGTGGTTGGCGTTGATGTTGTCAGAGGGGTTGGCGTTGCGGTTGTCCCAGGGGTTGGTGTTGTTACTATGGTTGGCGTTGGTGTTGTCACAGGGGTTGGTGTTGTTACTGTGGTCGGAGTTGTTACTGTTGTCGGCGTTGGTGTTGTCACAGGGGTTGGCGTCGGTCTTGTCACTGGCGTTGGTGTTGTCACAGGGGTTGGCGTTGGTGTTGTCACTGGGGTTGGTGTTGTCACTGTGGTTGGCGTTGGTGTTGTCACTGGGGTTTGAGTTGTCACTGTGGTTGGCGTTGATGTTGTCAGAGGGGTTGGCGTTGGTGTTGTCACAGGGGTTAGTGTTGTTACTGTGGTTGGCGTTGGTGTGGTCACAGAGGTTGGCGTTGCGGTTGTCCCAGGGGTTGGTGTTGTTACTATGGTTGGCGTTGGTGTTGTCACAGGGGTTGGTGTTGTTACTGTTGTCGGCGTTGGTGTTGTCACTGGCGTTGGTGTTGTCACAAGGGTTGGTGTTGTTACTGTGGTTGGAGTTGTTACTGTTGTCGGCGTTGGTGTTGTCACAGGGGTTGGCGTTGGTGTTGTCACTGGCGTTGGTGTTGTCACAGGGGTTGGCGTTGGTGTTGTCACTGTGGTTGGCGTTGGTGTTGTCACTGGGGTTGGAGTTGTCACTGTGGTTGGCGTTGATGTTGTCAGAGGGGTTGGCGTTGGTGTTGTCACAGGGGTTAGTGTTGTTACTGTGGTTGGCGTTGGTGTTGTCACAGAGGTTAGCGTTGCGGTTGTCCCAGGGGTTGGTGTTGTTACTGTTGTCGGCGTTGGTGTTGTCACTGGCGTTGGTGTTGTCAAAGGGGTTGGTGTTGTTACTGTGGTTGGCGTTGGTGTTGTCACTGGGGTTGGTGTTGTCACTATGGTTGGCGTTGGTGTTGTCACAGGGGTTGGCGTTGGTGTTGTCACTGGCGTTGGTGTTGTCACTGGGGTTGGTGTTGTCACTGTGGTTGGCGCTGGTGTTGTCACAGGGGTTGGCGTTGGTGTTGTCACTGGCGTTGGTGTTGTCACAGGGGTTGGCGTTGGTGTTGTCACTGGCGTTGGTGTTGTCACAGGGGTTAGTGTTGTTACTGTGGTTGGCGTTGGTGTTGTCACTGGGGTTGGAGTTGTAACTGTGGTTGGCGTTGTCACAGAATTTGGTGTCGTTACTGGGGTTGGTGTTGTCATTGCGGTTGGCGTTGGTGTTGTCACTGGGGTTGATGTTGTCACTGGGGTTGGTGTTGTCATTGTAGTTGGCGTGGGTGTTGTCACTGGGGCTGCTGTTGTCACTGTGGTTGGCGTTGGTGTTGTCACAGCGGTTGGCGTTGGTGTTGTCACAGGGGTTAGTGTTGTTACTGTGGTTGGCGTTGGTGTGGTCACAGAGGTTGGCGTTGCGGTTGTCCCAGGGGTTGGTGTTGTTACTATGGTTGGCGTTGGTGTTGTCACAGGGGTTGGTGTTGTTACTGTTGTCGGCGTTGGTGTTGTCACTGGCGTTGGTGTTGTCACAGGGGTTGGTGTTGTTACTGTGGTTGGAGTTGTTACTGTTGTCGGCGTTGGTGTTGTCACAGGGGTTGGCGTTGGTGTTGTCACTGGCGTTGGTGTTGTCACAGGGGTTGGCGTTGGTGTTGTCACTGGCGTTGGTGTTGTCACAGGGGTTGGTGTTGTTACTGTGGTTGGCGTTGGTGTTGTCACTGGGGTTGGTGTTGTCACTGTGGTTGGCGTTGGTGTTGCCACAGGGGTTGGCGTTGGTGTTGTCACTGGCGTTGGTGTTGTCACAGGGGTTGGCGTTGGTGTTGTCACTGGCGTTGGTGTTGTCACAGGGGTTAGTGTTGTTACTGTGGTTGGCGTTGGTGTTGTCACTGGGGTTGGAGTTGTAACTGTGGTTGGCGTTGGTGTTGTCACAGGAGTTGGTGTCGTTACTGGGGTTGGTGTTGTCATTGCGGTTGGCGTTCGTGTTGTCACTGGGGTTGGAGTTGTTACTGTTGTCGGCGTTGGTGATGTCACTGGCGTTGGTGTTGTTACTGTGGTTGGCGTTGGTGTTGTCACTGGGGTTGAAGTTGTAACTGTGGTTGGCGTTGGTGTTGTCACAGGAGTTGGTGTCGTTACTGGGGTTGGTGTTGTCATTGCGGTTGGCGTTGGTGTTGTCACTGGGGTTGTCTGTGTGGTTGACATTGGAGTTGTAGTGCGACAAGGTGGTATATTAGGATGTTTTATACAGAGATCTGTAATTGTAGTTGTGGTTGTTGGCATTGTAGTTAATGAGCCTTGCCTTAAATGAATTTGACGTAATCTATCAGGAGCACATTTAACCATATCCATGCATATGGCGAAAATTGCAAGGACCAGCAAATACCTGAAAGACTGATAATTTCTCTAAGAAGTCTTTGTGTTGAAATTGACTTTTGAGTTCTGACTTACCATGGCGAGCATGTGAGAAGTACTATTGTGTTTCGTTATGCTGAGCTATTTATATATAAGCTGACATAGTCATAATACTGGTATGTGGAATATTTTCCTGTCTAATTGTTATTGCTGTCAATTAACTACTATCTCAAAAAATGACAGCAAATGTGATAAATATATCGGCCGTGGATACTAATGTGGCCCTTGGTCTTTATATTTTTAAGCGAACTGCGTTCCATGCTAGGTCAATATTTCTACTATTCGACACATAACTACTTTTGTTTATGTTTGAGTTAGCAATAAAAGAACTTTCAATACACGGCTTTTGTTTACCTGCAGATTTTTCAATTTGAGGAAACGTCATGGCAAAATATAAAAATAGGTAATAGTGTAGGTATACATTCTTGAAGTTGTCGGATTTGAAGTGTTCTTTGCTTTATAATTCCCTTTTTCAAATTATGTAAATTGTTTACTGTCGAAATGAGGAACCGATAAGCAAGCCTTGAAATAGTATTTCCAAACATAGCATTACAAATCAACATTTTTTCATAATTCTTTTGGCTTCTGCTCCATTAACATCTATACATGTTTGTGTAAGTTTTTATGACTGTCTGCAAGCATGTGAGTAAATAATTTGATTTAATAAAAACATAATAATAATTCTGTCTTATTGCAGGCTCTAGTCTTTTGTGTGGTTAAGCATTTGTGATATCGTCTGTGTGAACTTTAGGCCTCTGACAATCGAGAGCGCCATGCAACCCAATCAATACTCACAACATTCGTGTGCAAATATGCAGTTCCTATATTTGTGAAGAATTTCCATCTAGCGTAAGAATCGAATAATGGTTATTGGCGTTCATTTAACAACAATTAACTTATTTCTATTAGCAATAGCCGTGATGTGCTCTTCTTGCTACCCTAGCTGCACTCCCTGTTGCAGTCCGTGTTGCAGCCCATGCAGCAGCGCCTGCAGTAGTCCCTGCTGTGTCCCATGTTGCAGTCCGTGCTGCAGTACCTGCTGCAGCCCCTGCTGTAATCTGTGCTGTTATATATCCTGTGACTGCGCATGTTGCTCAACATGCTGTAGTCCCTGCATGTATCCATACGACTGCAATGTGTGCTGCATTGACAATGACTTTTGCTGCTAGGAATATCTTCAGAATCAAATCTAGGTACTCGCCCAAACTTCAACTTGAGACTAGAACTAAGCTACTATAAATATGTAGACATACAACCCAAATTTTCAGTAGAAATTAAGCAACATAAAATAGAAATGCATAAAATATGTAGTTCTTTCATTTCAGCTTGTCAGAAACCTTAAATCTAAACTTTGTGATATAGTCAATATATCCATGCTACAATATATTGCAATATAAACTAATTGACACAGCTCCCAACCAGCCATTTGCTTTTATATTTACATATAAAGGAGGCACTTCTTCTATTCTCCTGATGCATTGTCAATTTTATGCAAAAGCTGTTAGCCGCTGGGCAAGTTTTGGCCATGGATACGCGCACGGCCCTTCAATTTGATTTGCTGAATCGCAAGTTTGGCTCGAGTTTTTTGGCATGGAATTGGCTTTAGGTCTACTGAGTTTCAGACCTCCGTGTGTTGGTCTACGCTAATGGAGCTTGGCGTTTGCACAGCGCTGCAACGTATACCATTTTTTCAATTTCACAGTTTATTAATCCTGTTTAGTTCCTCTTAACGTAGCTACCTGGTCAAATTTGCATTTGCCAATGGCTTACAGTTTTAAACGCTTGAAAAATTAAATTAAAGAAAATAAAAGAAATTTTAAAAACCCCAATTTAAATCCTGTTTCGATTATTACACTTTTTCAATACAACATCATTTAAAATGTGACTTAAATGCACAAATCGGTAGGTTTAGAGGGAATTTTAAAAATCTGTTTTATTTTTGTAAGCCGAAAATGAAACTATAATTACAAATTATTAAGGTTAAATTATAATAACTTCTTCGGAGAATCTTTTTGACTAGCCGAATAAATATAAATATTTATAAGAATTTTGTCAATCTTACTATATAAAATGCTCAATTTTATTTAAAATTCTCTTTAAATTTGTCCATCACATAATTAGATCTTTTGATAATCGTCGCGTTTATGCATATTTGTTAACGCATCTCTCAGTCATATATAACGTCTATGTAAGAGGACCTGCAGCTTTAGCTGGCACTTGGACTATATAAAGCTACGCACAGGTAGTACATAGTCATAGCTCAAAGATATGGCAAACCAATTAGCCAAAATGATGGCCAGCTTTGTTTGACGTTCGTGTGGGCTGCCCAGATTCGCTTGCAATTACCAGCCACAAAACAACAACAAGCCCAACAGATTTACTTGGCTGATGTGAAGGCATTGAAGTCAACTTTAACAACGAGTCGCACTCAATGCAATAGCTCACCTTTCTGCCCTATAAGCAGGTGCAAGCCCAAACACATGACGCACTGTGACCAGAGCATTGAAATGTAACAAAGCTGGGCCAAACACACAGACCCCAAGTGGTTAGAGTAAAGTTCAGAAAATGAAATCCGTATTGTTGGATAGCTTCATGTACCGCAGAGTGTGTGTGCCATTGAACTCTGACCCACATGCTTTAATATTTAATCATATTTCTTGTTCACTTCAAATCTATCGTTTTAATTGATTATATGTATTTTCTATTCGAATATATATATTTGCTTGTATGTACGACTCGTACATTCATTTTTACAGTGTTGTCAGAATAGAATAAGTATTCTATCGATATCTTATTCTTCGATATTTATTTAAGTAAGTTTATCTTATTATACTAAGAAGTTGATAAGCGAAGATCAGGGCAATTTTATATTTTATATAAATTGAATTGTCTATTAGATGTTTCTATCTAACGATATATGTCTACAAATATTGAACAAATATAATCTTTTGGTTCCTTTAGAGTTATGCCAGCCTAAAGCAACATGGAGCTTCATAAATTCCTAATTTGAGCATCCGCAAATTTTCTAAGACTCCCTTAAAGGACGAGACCCATTAGCAGAGTTTCTCGCAAAATATTCTGGGTCATTTAGGCTGTAAATTAACATTCGGGCGGGCCCTTAAGTGAGACACTTTCAAGAGGTGGTTTAAATATTTATCAAAACGAGTGAAATTATTAACTACTGAAGGCAATTAATCTTAATTAAAACGATGCCACAAAGCGTTGCATGAATTTCGTATGCAGCCCGGGTACAAGCTGTGAGTCCAGTCTTAAGCCTGTGCCGGTTGCCTATTTAGAATGTCCAAGGACTGTCAGCAAATCAGGTGCACTACGTGATGTGCTTTCGATAAAGTGCACGAATAAAAGAAAATCGCCGAAAGGAAAAAAAAAAGAGAGAAAACTTTTAATGCGCTTAGGCGACGAACGATACACAGCAGAAAATGTTGAACGGTAAATGGTAAACAAAATCAGGAACAAGCCAGACCACAGAGCTGCCAGCACTTAAAATCCTCCTTCTGCCCAGCCCTCAAACACCATCCCAACCATCCAAAACGAAACCGTGCGTGAGCAATTTTTCTAAACGAGACGCCAGGTAAGAAAGACCAGGAGCAGCAGCACGTTTCGGGTGCGATTGCTGGACATGGTTGCTACAACAAGATGTTGATAATGATGATAATCATTATCATCGTAATAATGATGATGATAATGATGATGGTCGGTTAAGGATTATTTAAGTCATACCGAAGTTTTGCCATCTAAGGTGGGGCCAACCTTTTCAACGAACATTAAATATTACAAAATACTTAATGCACTTTTCGTTAGGGCTCAATTTGGTAGGTACTTAATGGACATTAGGCTGGATATTTCGCTAATGAAGCGCATCGTTGTGCATTAGGTGACATTAGTTAGGATATGCTTGCCAGTAACACGTAATTTTCAGAGTACATGGCCGAAATTCACTTTCAATTTCCATTTTATTTTATTCGATTTTCGAAAGAAGCAGCCATGCTCAATTGACAAGCATATAACAAATAACACTGAAACTTGATTATTATCGATATGTTTGGGAAGACAACTAATTTCATTGCTTCCAACGAGCTGAGTAGGCCAAAGCTATAACCAAATACAAATTTTTACCTAAGCTACAATAAAATTTTTATGTTGTCACATCTGCTACAACCAGATACAATTTTGAATCAACTGTTAGGAGTTAGGCAAAATTGTTAAGCGTTTACAAAGTGCCCATCTGTAAATTAAAAAGTTCCGAATGGCCGCCAAAAATATTAATAAAATTAACAGTATGAGCCTTTTTGGCTTAGCCCAAAGACTACCAACAAGTAAGTAATTTATAGATAGGGCAGCAGATTCTAATTCAAATTGCAGCTCCTTATTCAGGTTGCGCTTCCCATCGTTATGTGACATCTTTTAAGCAGTTGAAGAAACCAATAACCGAACCCGATTACTCTAAATTCATAAGCAAAAACTCTGCAATAAGTCTGATTAATGAGGAAAGATCACGAAAAAGTATGCCCACAGAGAAACGGCTTGAGACTCATCTGGCTGCCGAGCAAGTCCGCAAATGCAATGAGATACTCAAGGAGCACTATCTACAGAGGCGGAAACTGCAAGAGAAAATATTGAGCGGAGTAGACATACAGGAACCTACTTTGTCAAAGAAACTAAAAGATCTCATGGCCCACGAGGCTGTGAGCTCAACTAAAAATCATTATAAAGTCGAAAATCTCAGGCGGTTTAATGGTATGGAAAACAACCGCTGCCTAGTCGACTGTAGGCCACAGACTAGTGGCTTTGTAAGGCGCTGGCACATGAGAATACCAGCACGCATGCTAAGTGAATATGATCAAAAACATCTAAGTGAATTGGATATGACCATATTGAGCAAACGTGGCCGCAAAGTAGACAAAATTGTAAAGCCTCCCGAAAAAAAACATCAAGCAACACCATCGCCCAACAAAAGCAATGAGCCAGAAAATAAATTATTTATGGAAAACAGTAAGAACCAAAGGATGTGGCAAATAGGTAAATAAAGCTTCCAAAATATTACAGAACATTAAGCTGGGCTTGGTTGGGACAATACATATTTTTTAGCTTGATCTGCAACAAGAGCTTGAATCAATAATAATGTCGGAAGTGCAGTTGCATATAAATAATAATGTTGGAAGTGTAGCTTCATTCTAAATGAAATTCCCTTATATCATTTCAGGTTCTCGTAAAATTCCACGTTTGGACTAATTGGCTACCCTACATACGATAGATAGATATTTATAAATTCGAAATTTTACAAAAATTATTATTTTGGCTACCGATATTTTTAAATTTGTTTTCACGATTCAAAGAAATATAATATTCCGTGCAAATTGAAACGAAACTCCTTTTAATTATGTCATATTAAAAAGTAGGTAGAACAATAAAGCTAACGTGAATAAGTGTAATAGTAGAATTATATTCCAAAATATATCTGCTAAATTTGGGGACCATTGGATTAAGGCCATCCGAATAGACTAACCTTTAAGAAATACCGTTAAATATCTATACAAATTCCATTGCCATTATAGCCTTCAACAAATCGTTAGGAGAGAAACAAATATTTTGCTCGCCCATAAAAGCGAAATAAGACTTTTGTACAAGCATAAGAAATATAAATTTCAAAAGATTGACAACCTTTAAGTAGTACATCCTGCACAGCCTCCCCTGGGCCGCACAAAATGTTGGCAGAACAATTAGCAAAACATTTGAGTGCCCGGCTTAACGCACCACTTAGCCGCCGAGAAGTGCACATAGTAGAGGCGCCCATTTAAGATGAAGATGCCATTGCCGCACAAAGATACACCTACACAGCCACACATAAAACATGGTCGAAAAAATTAATTAAAACTTACCTCAATGAACTGACAGCCAATTAAAGTTTACGCAAGAGACACGACAACAAGTCGAGCAGCAAGAAAAACAGCTGAAACGTGGCACAGAGTAGACAGAGGGGTGGAGGTGAGGGCTACAGGGGGTACAGACGATGAGCAAATGTAACGTTCAACGCGCCATTAAACGCGCTGCAGATCAGTGGGTGGCCAGCGGGGGCACAGCAGAGTCATAGGGGAGAAACCGTTTATTGGCCAAAAGCAAACAAACAAAGGCCAACAGAGACCAACAGGCAAACAATAAGCAGCAGCCGAGAAGCTGCCGCAGCAGCAGCAGAAGCAGCAGCATCAGTGAAACAAAGGCAAAAGAGGCAAACGAATAAATACTAGAAAACAAAATGGAGTGCGCCCCACCCCCACCCCCCGTTCACGATGGACAGGATGTGACTTGTTTGCCTTGGACTTGAGCGGCAGCCGCTGCAGCAGCAGCAAAACAATTAACAATCTCCGTTTGTCGTAATTGACTCAAATGAGCGCAAACAATAAATAAAACAGTAACAGTAACAGCAACAGCAACAACAACAACAAGAACAACAAGAGCAAGAGCAGCAGTAACGGTAAAGGGAACGGGAACGGGAACGGGAACGGGAATGCTAACGGTAACCGTAACGGGCAACGGCAGCGGCAAAGATAGCAAAACAATGCCAAAAACCGTTGACAATGACGATGGCGACTTTGCCGCACGAACGAAAATATCCTTCAGCTAGTGATGTGAGTTTGAAGATTAAAAGTGTAAGATGGGAGATCAGAATACAACCCCAATATATGTATCTCTAAAATATGTATGCACATATTTTAGTCTAACTGCTTCTGATATCTGTCTAATAATATGCATAGGTAAAAATTGTACATATATACAATTATCAAAGGGAATTATCTTAAAAATGCAGGCCAAATTGCTGAATAAAAGTTGTTTAAATACTTTCAAAATCTTGACGATTTCAAGCTTAGTCAAAACGAACATTAATTTAAAGTATTTCTTAATTAATATAGTCCAGTCCAGTCCAGTCCAGTTATTTCCTGCCTTTCACGCATGTTTTCCTAATTCAAGATCGCCGTACTATATGCTATATTTTTTTTTAATCGGGGATCACATTTGTTTGTAGTTTCTGAAACGTTTAACGCTGTCATCTCTAGTTTCCGGAGACCCTTTCATCCCCACATGCATGTCTTACTCCTGGCGTTGACCCATAAACGCTCTATGCGAGCATCTGCACGTAATGTTCACGTTTGCCTGCAAAGAAATCACGGCACGGACTGCATTTTTGTCGAGCCTTTGCTTCGATTGTTTGCACAGCTTGTCAGGATTTCCCCTGTCAGTGGGTTGGATGTACGGATGTTGAGTCCTGTAAGTGGATATCTTTGGCTAAGTGCAGCCAGGAAGGCTGTCATTCAGCCAACAGCAGAACGCTCCACTTTTGCCCAACTGTTTGCACAACATATTGTATTTTTAATTATTCAAGTTGTCGAGTGCAATTGCTGGGGCATTGTATTTCCACAAGTCCGTCTAGTATAGCAGTACGATGGGCATTATGCATAGTGCTACTCGCTACTTAACACCCTATTAAGTGGGCAATAACAACTGTCAAACTCATGGCACCTACCCGACACTTGACTCAGTCTGAACAGGGCGCGTTGTCTATTATGTAATACAAATTTAATTCTCTTTTGTAGTAATTTTATTGCCACCCACTTAACTCTTTGAAGCAGATATCGCGACATTTAAAACTCTGCAGAGCATTTAATTAATTATTAACGGAGTGCAGTGCGATGAAGCTTGACTTATTTTTAATGTAGATTATTTACTAGCCAGTGCAAATTTCTATAATTTTGCACTTTAGCTCCGAAAACATACTTTTCGAATCTTTTTATGCAATGAGCTCATAAGACATAACGTCTCATAATATATTTGAATGGTAAGGAACACAGAAAAGTTGAATGGATTTTGATAACACCTGGCATTCTCCCCAATCGATCAAAAGGAACTCCCCGTTTTCGCTTTACGGAAATTTCGATAAATTCTTGCACAACTAAAACTGATTAATTTCAAGGGAAATTTCTTTGCCGCAAAATCTTATAATATTAAAAATATAAACACAACGAAGGAAAGAAGCTTATTTTAAGCTTTCATAGTGGGGGTCTAAGGATGAAAGAAGCCTTAAATTTAAAATATACTTAATGTATTGCACAGGGAAATTTACCTACCTTGTATATCCAATTAAGAGTCACTTTTCATATATATATTAATCGCATACTGATCTGGAATTAGAGCAAGTTTTTAGTATTTCGTGTTGCTTTTATTCCATAATACAATTTATATATTTGTATAACCATTTGCGCCTAACTGCAATTCAAATATACTCAAAAATTATTATTTGTGAATTGAAATTTATACATAAGCAATTACGAGCAATGCCACAACTGGGGCACTTGTCGAGTGGTAAAAGGCTAAACAGCATGTTGGCAGTGGCTCTTCTTGCAGATGTCTGTGTCTTTTTGTGTGTGTGTGTGTGTGTGTGTGTGACCATAGACCAATTATGCGCACATTTCATGCATAAGAAAATTCAATTCCACGTTCATTTGCACATGCAAATCAAATTTATTTGCGGCAAGCACTCGGCACTTATGCAGGACGCGACAGGACGTGGCAGGACAAGCTGGAGACGTTGCTACAGATGGTGGCATGCCACTAAAAGTAACTGAAGCTGTTGCCTGATTGTTGTTGTAGTTGTTGATGCCGACGGCAGCAACAAAAAAACAACTGAGAATCAACTTGTGATGAGTGACCGACTAAGAAATACCCCGTGTCCCGATTCGAACAAACAAAATCGAAATAAATTACTTTTACACTAGTTACTTTTATGGTGGATGACATATAGGGAAATTAACTATTTAATAGGTATCTTAAGATTCTTAAATTAACGAAAAATTGAAATTAAAAATTACGAAATATTTGCACATGCACCCTAAAAGAGTTGGAGATACTTCATTCCGCTGAAATTGGCACGCTGCAATATACCCACTTTAACACTTTTCAATGGGTACAGGGTACAACAAATTTGAGCGCTTCTGCCGCGAACTTTGTAAATGACGTTGATGATGAGTTGCAGCCGAAACGAACCGACATTACGAGTGCCTGCTTTCCTTTTCTCACCCACTCTCTCTTTGCTTATCTTCTGCTCGCCGTCTCTCACTCTCAATGTCTTTCATTCATTCATGCAATTTTCAATATTTCATTCAACTGTTAATGTCACGCACTTGAAAGGCGCTGAAGGTATTTCACCCAGCCCTCATTTGTATTTTGTATAGAAATGCATTTCTACTGAATGTTAATTTAGTTAGTTTGTATGATAATGCGTTAGCAGCCTCAATGTGTGTTGCCTCTTCAGCAGTTTTTGTAAATATTTTGCTCTAAATTGACACAAATATAAAAATTTTAAATGAAAACAATATACCTTTTCTTTTGCAGAGGCAACGAAAGCTGTATTTCTTCTTTTTAATTCATTGAGTAATAAATATGTCTGCAATAGTATGTCTGTTGTAGCTGCTCTCTCGCCGCTCTCTCGCTCTCATGCTCTATTTTGCGCCTTTTCTGCTTGTGAAAAAAGCTCTGCGCAATGAACACATTTTTTCATATTTATTCCATTTAAATAATGGAAAAATAATTTACTATTTTATATCTATGTACATATATGCAATTTAACGACAACACACGACACAAATAAATCACGTTGAACCGTTATAACTGTACTCTGTTGCCATCGATTTAATTAACAGAGCAAACGCGCACAGACTAAATACACTTATTAGGCTGGCGCCTGCGCTAAGCCGACATTCGCACTAACACAATAATAGAATTCATATGTTACTCCCGCTCGCACTCTATCCGCAATGCTTGAGCTCTTTGTATGTGCTCTCCCTGCTAACATAACGGGATCAAAAGCATTACAGCCAATGGCATAAGCGCAGAGAAGCGTCATAACAGCAAACAGCTGCAGCTTGCACTCAAAACGGAATTAAGAGAATCAACTATGGACAAACAGACGCTCAATGTCCACACTTTCTGGACTCTCTGCCATTATTATATTCTGCGCTCTGCCTCTTCCGAAACAGGTGTACGCATTTTTATATAAACACTGCATAGAAATGAATTAAATAGAGTGTTGATCTAGAATGTTTGCCCGAGAATATTATTTGTTGTGTTTCATGATATAAATAAAAAAAAACATAATTTTGAGCATTGTCATGAATTTTAGGAATGAATCTGCATATGCATTATTATAAAACATGAAATAAAACTATTTCTTAGATCTGCCCAATATCACAATATCTATTATCGTATATCCGGCA